CCAAAGTTAAATGTTTCTCATCTTCAACATCGTCATATGACATTGTTTTCGCTGTTAATCTCACACACAGCCGCTGGAAACAGGAATGTAGTTCAATCAGACCTCACAAAGATCAGGATATTCCCTTTCTGTGTGCTGGTTCTCATGGGAGACGCTGTCTTCCTTCAGGTAAAACAGTACAGCTAATGTCCACTGGGGGGAGCCAAAATTGACAAACTGAAAGTTCCTCAGAACTGCTAGAAAGGCTTGGTTATGCTTGACGTTCCAATGAAATGAGCTTTTATACTCCTTGTTCTACGCCGCTCTGAGCGTATTTACAGGTTTTTCTAGGGGAGTGGTGTGCAAGCTTCAGGGACGGCGTTGGTGCTAAAAAAGGCCTAATTTGGCCAGATGTGTCAAGCTTAATTATTATTTTTTTTTTTTGCTCTTCCTTTTGTGGACGTGGACTCCAAGGAGTTAGAAGGATGGGTAGTAGATATCTAGCCCCAAATCTGAACTAAAATCATATATTAGTCCCTCAGACCGGGCCCTATAAAGAGCAGTGGGTCATCTAAGCATAGTATGTGTTGTAAAAATTTAATTCAAAAATGTCAGAACACAGACGGGCACATCTGTCTTTTAGAAAGTGAAGACCTGCCATCATCTTCCTCTCATTTACAACTTTTCTAACTCTGACCTTAACCCTAAACCGAATCATTTCCCAGTCATAATCTAAAAAAATGTACATTTGCAACAACCAGTAACATAATTATTTGAATCTTTCACAAATGATCAACACTCACGTTGTTGGACTGATGGAGAAAGAAAAGATGAAAACAACCTGCATGCCCAGGATGAGGGATTCAAACCCAGGAACAGAAGGGCAAATGCTCCAGGGCTTAAAAACAAAATATCACGGCCTGCTATCCTTCTCATAAAATCTTTCTGAAAAGCTTTTCTATTTTTGCGTTTATAGATATGAAGCAAATAGATTATTTAGGATTGCAACAAATGGATGTAGATTTCCTGCTCAGCTGATTTTATTTTCATAGTCGGCAAGAAGAGACGTTTCACCAGTGTTTACATCTCTGATTAAAGATGTGCAGAAAAGACTAGAGAATCTGATAAGACATGAATGGATAACTTTGATGGATAAACTTGATGTCTGTAGCTAGAATAACGTTTAAATGTTGCGAGGGCTGCAACTAACAATTATTGTGCAACTTGATTAATCTGTGAAGTATTTTTTTTTATTAATTGATTAATGATAAGATAGCAAAATGTTCCTTAAAGTAGTCTTTTTACAAAATTAAACCAGGTGAAACTAAAACTTTTCCACTTGAGGAGTTCTGAATAGAGCATATTGACAGACGAAAAAGTTTTTTTTTTTATCTTAAATGCAAAATGTTTACATATTTTTTTGTTACAATTTTGGGATAATTGGTCCTCAAGGTGGATTTCTCTGTTGGCTAAAGTTAAGTTTTAGAGTCATATTACGCCAGTTAACGATTTATCGATTACTTAATTAAATGACAATGATTTCAATTAATCGCAATCGGATTGTTTCAGCCGTAAATGTTTTGTTTGGCATATTTTTGAAAATATAAAGCAACGCTGCATTTCCGAGCCTCTGCATTTCCTCTTTTCTTTAGGGGGAGTTCACCTCCATGGGGATCTACTCTACTGGAAACTCCTACGGCGTCCCAGAGGACCTCATCTACTCATTTCCTGTCCAGATCAAGGTAGCCCTGATCTGACTTCGCTTTCACATTACAGAAAACCCGCTGAGGAGTTTTCCTCTTCTACATACATCTAAATACAAAACTATAATAGAGCTGTTCTTTTATTTCTGTTTTGTTTTTTAGGATAAGACCTGGAAGATAGTTGACGGGCTGGCCATCAATGACTTTTCCCGTTCCAAGATGGACGCCACAGCAGCAGAGCTGATAGAAGAGAGAGACACAGCTGTGGCCTTTATCGGAGCATAACTACCCCCAAGTGGGCCTGCCCTCCAGCATGTACACAGAACCAGAACCCCAGAGCCCCGCCTGTGACGCAGAGCTCCATATGGATTGTCAGGGTTTATATTTGTCCGCTGGATAAGATCTTTATCTATTAATATGAGTCTAGTTTTGGTCAGAAAATACAGCAGCTTTGCTGTTGCAACTTTTCCTTTAGCTCGCAGTACATGAAGTCCTAACTTTTAATAAACCTCTTATTGATTAGATTTTGTTCTCTGGAGGTGAGTGAATGAATGGATGGAGACTACTGATGCACTTAAATCATTAAACACTGACTGATAACTCAGGGTAAAATAAAAATGTGTATAAAAAAAGATTGGCCTCTTGGATTTTTTTTTTTTATTATTTTCAATAACTTCATTTTTTCATTTCGTTCTCATTGTGAGCGACCTTCAGTCAGGGCTGACTGGGGATTCAAGGAAGGAGAAGCAGACATGCATAAAGAACATGGAAGCATTGATCCATGAGAACCTTTTATGTTAGAAAAGGTAACAGTAAACTAGCTCCATAGGTGGCTCTGATGAGGAAAGAACCCGTTTAACAGACCCACTTTTGTGTCAAAAAAAAAAAGAAAGATGGAACTTTTTGAGCTCCCCCCTCCTCAAGCAATCTTCTTCAATGTTTTATTTTTTTTTTTATGAACTTGTCTTAAAACTTCTTTGCTTTTAACACAGCATGATACTCTCTCTGTTTCAATTTTTTTATATGGTTTTGTTTGTTTTAAATTATTTTATTCTGTTTTATTCCTTTAAACTTCTACATTGTTTTATACATTTTAAGCTTAATTGGAATCTACAGAACGTTGTGGCAGCTGTGTTTTTTTTTTAAATGGCTTTATGAATAAAGCTGAGTTGAGAAAGAGAACACATACAGTCAGTGACAGTAACCCATATCTGTCTAGGAGAGAAACTGGACCAAATGCTGAAAAACAAACCATCATGTGAACTTTTACTGTTTACTGACATGTTTAGTACCTGCGCTTTCATAGTTGCTGTCCTTAAGTAGATTTTTTATTTTTATTTTTTTCCCCCAGTATCTGTAATTAGCTTGAGAAAGACGTGTCAAAGACTCTTGGTTAGGTGATGAGTTCGACTTTTTACTCTTACAATCGAACAAAATATCTTTATTTTGTTTTTTTTTTACCAACTTTTATTGTCATTACACAGTCACAAGTACAGAGCAACGAAATGAACTCTGTATTTAACCCATCCCCTTGAGGAGCAGTGGGCTGCCATCGTGTGGCCCCCGGGGGGCAGTTTGGGTTTAAGGGTCTTTGCTGAGGACCCAGAGTGGCAGTCTGTGGGAGTGGGGCTCAAACTCAGAACTTCAAGATTTCAAGCTCTATGTCCTAACCACTAGGGCACTACTCCCTACTTCTACTACCTACCTTCTCTAAACTGGCTTTTTACTTCTATACTTATTGATAACCTGCAATAAAAGCTGAAACAAAATAGAGAAAATCAAAATCATGAAGATGTTCATGTTGGGGGCTGGAGGGTAAATGATGGATCAGACTCAAATGCAGGACATTCCCCATCCATTAGATCATTAGATTTGAAATGTGCATTGATTTTGTTTTCAATTTTATTTATATTTCAATATTATTTAAACTTCAGCGCTGTGAACACTAAAGCTCAAAAATATTCAGTTGTTTTTTAGAGCTTCTGTTCACGTCAATCTGTTATCCTGTATGAAATGTGAAACTGGAACAAAACTAGATTCAGTCTTTTATATTCTCTCCAAAACAGTGAATAGAAGAGGTATATAAACCATGTTTTGTGTGTAGAACTACATTAGAGGAATAGTTTTTTAAATGTATTTTGTCTCCAGGAAAAAATCTAATTTCACTTTTGCATTTTAGTAGAGTGAAGAAAATTAAATCAGTATGTTTATTGTACAAGAGCCTGTTTCACACAGGTAACTTTACTTTTACTGGAGTAAAAGATGTAAGTACATTTGACACTTCTAGTTATTACTGTAAATAATAATTAGATGTATTTATAAAGGGAAAACACTTTTTGGTGGCTGCAGAAAGTGATTTATACCGGTAAAGGCTGTCAAAATTCCTAGGAGTAAAAGCCCACATTAATTTGCTATTTAATTAAGCACCCTATCCTTTTCATAGTTTTTAAGAAAAAAATAAATCTGCATATCTGGCAAACTTCCAACTTTTGGAAAGCCCAGTTTTTTCATATTTACAACTAAACCCAAGGGAAATTTTTGTGCTATTAGTTTTTCTTTAACATGTCTATCGAACTATACAAAATTCAAGCTTATTTTATTTTCACATTGCACATGGGTACTATCTAATTTTAGTTTTTTTATTCGCTGTGCTGTAAAAGCATGAGATGGGTGAAGTGAAACAGTTCTACCAGACGGGGGCAGTATTTCCCTGTTTATCTCGCCTGCGTCACAGCTGTTGGTAACATTAAATTTACTCAGACGGGCAATGGTTAATAATTAAGACGATCTTTAAAAGTACAAACGCAAACGCGGAAAATAATTACTCTAAGATAAATATGTTTTGCATTTCTTGTTTTTTCAAACCTTTATCAGATTTATTTATTATTCAGCTTAGAGTTTTTTTCCCCCTAAAACAGGGGTCTTCAACGTTTTCCAGGCCAAGGACCCCCAAACTGATGGTGAGATGGAGCGGGGCCCCCAAAAAATTTGTTCTATCAAACTGCTCCTATAGTTCCTCTATTACAGATGGAGTAATGTAACTAAAGTAATTCCTCTCTGGGATTATTAAAGAATTTCTGATTCCTGGTTGATGGGACAGGTGTTGTGAATGAAACGGTGCCCAGCTTGAAAGAGCTCCTGTGTGTCGCTGAATGTGTGCATTGATGACTGAAAGACATCTTCTGCCTCCATTTATCTGCTTATTATAGTGTGTTGAATTCATGTCAATGTGTATTTAAAGACATTTCAATTAGTGCAAAAAATCGCAGGGGGAATATAACAAAAAGTCTAATCAACCAAAACTTTCGCGACCCCCGTGCAGTACGTCTGCGGACCCCCTAGGGGTCACGGACCCCCTGTTGAAGACCACTGCCCTAAAACAGTCTCTTATAAATAAATAAAAAAAATGTACAAGAAGTTGCAATTTTGAAGGCTATTGTATGATTTATACTCTCTTCAATAATTTGTTGTACAACCTTTAAGAGCATTACAGCAGTCAAACCCTTATAATTATTATAATTAACGGGTTTGATGAGTTATCTTTGTAACTACTCTCTATGTGTTCGATACACACACAGACAAAATGCTGTTTGTTTATTCGTACCAATACAGAAATAATTTGGTGGTTTCATGCTTTATTTCACATTACAGGGAAAAGTACAATGTATGCTCATTTTGGTGTCTTTCTAGTTAATACTTTTTTGGGGGTTGGATTTTTCATATTTTATCAGTTTTTATGAAAACACCAGTGGTGGTATTAAATGAACATGTATTATTACACCATTAAACTATTTTCAGATATTGTTGGACATAAACCTGTATTTTTGTGTTGACTTTTAAGAGAAACGTGCCCCTCACAATATGGCGGCGTCACTGGCGTTTCGTTTGCCACACAACCTTGACAATGTGGCATTCATTCGTGTACGTGATGCACCAGTATGGCAGAGCGTTTGGACAATTCTTAACTTGACTTGAATACGTGTACAAAATACATTTTTGCTAATTATATTATAAACGTGATAATAATATTGTAATATCTGATATCTGAAATGTTCATTTTGACTTAAAAGACATATTTTTGAGACATCTGGAATGCATTTCAAAATTGCCATTTAAAACGTTTAAAAATGCTAGTTATCTGAAAATTCATTCTTACTAGTATAACTATATATTTTTTTACATTCTGAAATTTAGATCCCCTACGAAAGCTTATTAGGGCCACTGGAAAACTGATTTTTAAATTTTATTTCAGAATAAAATGAAAGAGAAAAAGTCAGAATTCTGACTTTAATATCAGAATTCTGACTTTTTTTCTCACAATGTTTTAAAGACTGAACTACCTCTCTTGTTTTAATCACCTTCTGCTCTTCCATTAATGAAATAGCATCACCAGGGAGCCCTATGTGTCACTGGCCCTCTCAAACAACTCACCTCTTTGTCCGTGAAGCTAAGTGCTCCTACATCTCTTCCTTCATGGTGCCCATCGACATTAAGATCCCAAATTCTGCGATTAAAGTCAGAATTCTGACTTTTTTCCAATATTAAACTGAAATAAAAAATAAAAGAGAAAGAGAACGGTTATCTTTTTTTTTCAAGGGCCCCAAATCCTCTTTCGTTTTCTCCTGGCAAAAATGTAATTATGAACAACTTTAATTGTATTTCTGACAAGTAGGAATGTAGTTTTGACTAGTAATAATTATATTTAAGTGCTCTACAAATGGAGCAACAAAGGTTTTTAATAAATGTGAAAACGTTTTGCCATACCTCTCGTGTTTCATCGCTAGCAAGAAACCAAAAGAAACCAGTGAAATACGTCGCAAAAAACTATTGGTTCCAAAAATGTCATCACAGAAAAGCTGTCCTCCCATTGGCCCCCATTTGCCCTTCCTTGAATGGCAGTGGATTGTAAAATATCTTAAAACTGTTTCCCTTATAAAATTCCTCGCTATTTACAGTATATTAATCTTTTTTTTCTAAATGTGTAACTGTAAGGGAAACGGTGGCGCAGCGTTTTAAAGCAGGTTTAGTCTTGTATCCGTTTTTCTGCGGTCCAGGCCACCATTGACTTTCTCTCGCCAGCATCCTGAAGGCACACAGTAAGGAAACTGTTTGTTATTTCTTCTAAATGTTACTTTATCTGATCTTTGTCGCAGGGTGCCGTTCAGGTACGGGGGTTTTATTGCCGATTGGCACCGATATGGATAGAAAATCTGTTCCAGTAATGCGAACGTTTTCTTCCGTGTGGCGTTCAGGGAGGCGCTAGAATGAGTTGGCTTCATTCCCGAAGCACATCCCATTTATCCATCCCTTTACATTCTACGTTGAATTTTTTTTCTTTTATTACACTCTATATCAGCGGTTAATAATTGACAGTAGATGTGGACTCTGGGTTGAAAAAAGTAATAAAACAGGAGCAGAGGTGCGTTTGGGTTCACAGCCTGGGATTTATGACGCGCTTTCACCAGTAACTGGGAATGTAAAAGGAGGCAGCATAGTTTTGTTTGTCTGAAAGTGACGTTTCACTGCCGCCCAGATCTATAAAGACAAAATGTGATTCACTTTGAAATCCATTCCTGAGATGCAAATGATTCCCCTATGCTGGCGTAAGGAATACTGCACGGAAACTTTGGTTCATTTACGGGATGATGTGTTCAATGACTCCACGGTCTTCACATTCATTCTCACGGGAAAATAACTCTTAAAGAAAACTTTTCTCACTGAAACTGCTTATCTGGAAATATACATATATTTTTGTCCTTGGCAATCTAACCATGGCACTTTATGTAGAAGGTAAGACGATTTAAATCTTTGTTTTTAAAACTATATTCAGTTGTTTCCCCTATTTTTAAAGTCCGCTGAGGCTGTTTTCTAAAGCATTCCAGCTGTTTTACTTAATTTCAAACATTCAAAACTTTTTCACCTACAATCCAATGTCTCAAGTTTCCTCCACATATAGATCATTTACAAGTGATTAACAGCTGTCAGGTGAGGATTTGCTAATATCTAAGATAGAAAATGGATGAATAATGATGTATTTTTTCCATAATTATTGCAAAGATTTGATTGTCATTTCCATTTATGGCAACATAAATGTTCACTTGTAGAATAGAGGCGCCTCACGATGGCAGCCCACTGCTCCCCCAGGGGATGGGTTAAATGCAGAGGTAAATTTCTCCAGCGTAAGATCAATAAAGTTCAATTATATAATTATAATTATATTATGCGACAAAGTTTGGGAACCTCAGATCTCAACTGTTAGACAGCTATCAGGTCCTTTATTGTATCACATTAAATTTCAATTCAATTTATATAGCACCAATTCACAACACGTCACCTCAAGGCACTTTACAGTTCAGCCAGATCATACAGTCAAACTGATTCAAAGTTTTGTATCTAAGGAAAACCAGTTGATTGCATCGACTCATTGACTCAAATGCAATCCCTCACACTAAGCATGCTTGTGGCAACAGTGGAGAGGAAAAACTCCCTTTTAACAGGAAGAAACCTCCAGCAGAACCAGGCTCAGTGTGAACGGCCATCTGCTGAGGCCGATTGGGGATCAAGGAGACAGAAGCAGACTGTGAAGCAGCTGTAAAAGGAAACACACAATCAGGCAGACGAGCTCTGGGCCAACTCCTATTTCAGAGGATGAAGAGAGCACATCCAGCCAGTCACAGTCAGAGAAACAGGACTACACTGAAAAACAGACTGAACTCCAACATCTATAAACAAGGTT